AAAGCTCATGCTCAAATAAATTGGTTAGTCTCTAAGGTGCCACAAGTACTCCTTTTCTTTTTGCGAATACAGACTAACACGGCTGTTACTCTGAAACCTGTAACCTGTCAGTTAGCCTGCCTTTGAATCTTGGAGTGGTGAGGGAGTGGGAGGTGGTTGTTGAACTGGAAACAGCTCTTTATAATTGGTCTGAGTCACAGTTAAATCCAGTGCTTCAGACTGGTAAGAATAAATCCCTTTTGCTTTGTCCTGAATCCCTTCTTCCGCTCCTAATGACTCCAGTTTAAAAGGTAAGCAGAGCAGAGTCTTTGAAACCAATGAGTTCAGATCCACTCAAGTGTATTTACTGGGAATTACTGATTATCCTGATTTAAGGATAAGGACAGTGTAACATCTCTAACTTCACCCTTTACTCTCATTACATACAGTTGTGTGAAGATTACAGAAAAATGGCATTATTTGTCTGGATGACCTTTTTTGCTTTTGGCTAGATCATCGTCATCACTTTGCAAAATATGTGGATTTCCCTAGGAATAATATATTCAGTGTACATATATCATACACTACTTGAGCAGCACGAGAGCATGCCACTACAGTTACAGCTCTGTCAAACTATCTGGTGTAAATCCTGGTTTCAGGAATATATCTGTAAGACACCTCCTAAGAGTCATTCAGGCCTGGGATTTTATATATAAGGTTACAGCCGTGTGATGGTGGCTTTTCTGTTTTTGTTTGTTAAACATATTAGATTGAGGGGTTTTTTTTACTGTAAGTAAAAATCCACACGGCCATGTGTGTTGAGATGCCCTGAGATTGCATGTCACTTTCATACACCTCAGATCATCACAGATTGGATTGAAATGGATGCATGCAAGCAAAGCAGAAAGTACAATATTTAAACACTTGGCTTTTTTTGGCCTTATTTAGCCTTGAACTTTGTGTCTTTCCAGGAGCAATGTGAAGCACTAACCACTGAAACATGGGTTGCCCCATTGTTCTGTTGTTTGGTAGACTGGCAATTCTGGTTCACTGCTTTTACAGACTCAGCCATTTGTGAGCGAGTCTTTTTGCTGCCAGAATATTTTTGAAGTGTAATATAATACAGCAGTCTTCTTACATTCTCTGCTAGGTAGCCAAATGCTGGTGTCTTGTTCTTTAGAGGAAGCCAGTCTTTTGATGTGCATGTAACCCAGTGTAGTTTCAATGTATAAATCAATAGAGAGCTGACATTGCAAAGTGACAGTTTGGGCTTGGAGGATGTAGACTGGTCTATTAGGGAAAATAAAATCTATGATGGGCATTGCCAGCATTTAGAGTAAGTAGAAGTGGAGTTTAAGATCAGACTTGAAAGCACCTACTTTACTATGGTGGCTGGTGCTATTAAATACCAGAGATAGAAAAACAGGCCGATATATCTGAAAGGGAGAGCCCAGAGTTGAAATGGACAGGAAACACTAGGTTTGTTGTTTTCCTGCTCCATTCACAGCTTTTTGCATTTGATGTGTGTGAACAGTGTAAAAAGTATTCATGTGCCTGCTTCTTGAGAGATGTGAAGTGCTGATTGTAATAATTGTCACTTGTGCTGTATGCTGACTTCATTCAGAACAGAATGGTCAGACACCACACAAACTAAACCTTGGGTGTAGTTATTGTTCACATGGCTTATCCTCTGTTTCACTACCAAAAGCAGTAAATTAACTGTTCTTTTTGGAATTTCCATATTGTGAGATAGATCTCAATCTTGTGAGGCTAAGGAGAGGAATAATGCAAGGGGGCCCTCTGTGAGGCCCTCAGCCCCTGATTTTGGGGGCATCTGGGTCCTGGGAAGTCCCTGGCGTAGATCAGAGCTACCTGAGACTACTGCCAGTAGCCCCAGAGGCCGTTGTCACCTGGGGATTGCCCAGGCATAAAGCAACCTTATCCCCAGCTCCTTTTTTCTGGCCATGATTCCTTTATCAGGAAATGTGGGAGAGACATAGAAGGTGACCTAGGAGCCAGTATAGTGGCTCAGTGTCAGCCCAGGATCCCCTAAATTGTGGGAACTCTCAAGTGACCCGTTATGTTGACTTTAGTATTGTTTTGCACCACCATAGCAGTGCAAAGCAATCTTAATGCAGGGCAGAATCTGGCCATAAATGTTGTCTTTCACAGTTCATTGGAAAGCCAGGAGTTGTTCTGTAAAGCATATATTGTGAGATATGTTGCCATCAATTATTTTAGGTTCTACAAGAGTAAATTTTAAGACAAGATTCACACAATCGCAACACCTTAAAAATTACTGTGTCCTGAAACATCAGACACCGTGATCAGATAATAGCATTGCTGCGTGACTGATATGTTATAGAAACCTTCAGATGAAATTTGCAAGAGAGAGGCTTTAAAAGAAAAGGTACCTCCTCTCTGATCATATTCTAAATGTAATTATGGTATATCCACCTCAATATGACAATCAGCCTAGTCCATAATGATAAATTGCTGCACTTTTATAAATTTTCTGTTAGCAATGCAACTTTAAGACTAATCCTTCACCATGCTGAAATCAATGATTGTTTTGCCTTTTTTTCAATAAAAGCAGGAGCAGGCCCTTTTTTGCATAGCTTTTTTTATATCTTTGGTTTTCTACTGTCTGTAACTTAAAAGGTTTTACAGATTTAGATCATAAAAGTCAGTGAGTGGTTATGGTATAAATTGCAGAAAACAGTGCTATGGAGAGAGAGCATGGTGAGTCAAAGCATTTTATTTTCCAGTCATAACACCAGTGAACCTTTTATTATTCATATGTCTCTGTGGTAATAAATGTGTGTATTAGTCCTCATAAAAGCCAGAAAATGCCTAATGGTATTTGTAAAGTAACATGCATTTATCTCATACTCAAGGTAAGCTCATCAAATTCTGTCCAGTGTCAGATGCTGTAATTACAGAGGCCCAATATCTGTTTCTCCCTAATTTCTAACAATCTTTCTAGTTTATCTGGAAGTGTTTTGACCCCTAGCAGCAGCTGATTGGCATTTCCAACATTATGCTTTGTTACACTTGATTCTAGAAACAGTAAGTAACCTGTCCAGAGGTGAGACTCCAATTCTGAAAAGACACGGTGAGTTTCTGCATGACTACTATAACTGAAGGACTGAAAAAGTTTGCAACTAGATAGGGTTTATATATGAGTTATGCATATTTCAGCAAACACTCACAGGATGGAAAGGAAAATCAGCAGAGAAATAAGGTAAACATCAGTCTAGAAAAAATCAATAATGTTCACAGAAGATAAAGCAAGAGGAGAAAGGTTAAGGTGGTATCATAACCAGAATACAGTTTCAGGACGTACATGGGTTAATCAGATTTATGGTTTATAGATGCAGCTCCCAGGTCCATAGAAAGAACACCACAGGCAGGTTATAGCATTGTCACTTGCCTCTCAAGAGATATCAGTGCATTCTCTTCCTTGTTCTCTGCCTTTTGTTTGCTCTACAGCTTTAGTGCTCTGGGGAAAAAACAACCCAGTGCTCAATGCTAAAGAGATCATGGAATGATTGAAGGAAAAAGTAGAAGTAAACCAGAGATTTAGCCTGTCAGTGAAACTTTACAATTAATAATTGTCCCTTCTGTTAGTACTCCTGGGTGGCAGGTTTGCTCAGGACCAACAGCTGCTGTTCTTCTGACCAAAATAAAGCCTTGATAAAAGCTTTCATATTCATATATTCATGTCAGGCATTGAGTTCTCTTGAACCATATTTTTTTCTTCCTTAGGAGACTGATCCTGCAAGATCTTACTCTAGGACTATTTCTTATTCTCACAGTTACTCTAGGAATATTTCTTATTCTCACATGTTAAATGTTTCTGTGTAAATCAGATATGACTGGTGCTTGCCAGACCAGGCCCTAATTTCTTAATTTATAAAGCCAATTTATGGCTTATCTACACATAAAAGGTGTATTCCTTTAACTATACTGGTATAGCTAAGGTGTTACAACATACCTAGTGTGGGAACAGTTATACCAGTATAAAGTTGCGTATAGCAGTATAGCTTATTCCCATAGGGAAAAAGGGGGAATAAACAACATTCATTTAAGGCACCTTTATACTGATATGAATGTGCCCACACTAGTGGTTGTACTGGTATAATTATTTCAGTTAAAAAAAAAAAAAACAACTATCCGAAATAGTAACAACAGTTAAAAAAGAAAATCTATCCATAGACCAGGCTTTAGTTGACAGAGCAATGGTGAGCTTTCTTGCCATCTGAAAGATGAACATTTCATTCTCTCACTTGGTCTCTCATTTTTAGGGCTGACAGGGTTTGCAAGTGTAGTCATTGAAGTATGGTGGTAAGGCACAAAGACACACATCCTAGGCAACCAAAAAAAGGGCTGACGGGTAAACTGCTATATATTCAAGGGATCTGGCTAGCTGTTTAGTATTTGTGGACAAGAAATTGGTATTAGAAATCAGTGACTTTTTGTTCTGAGTTTGGTTGCTATGTAATCCTTTTATATTGTTAATGAAATTATGACAATTATTCCATAAAAAATACATATAGTCATTTTTTTAAAAAACAGGTAGAAAATGTGTGTACAACTCAGGTTGCTCTAAGTGACAGGAAATGGAAACAGATTTCAGTGGCATTGAGGAAGCACAAAAATGAGTCTAAGTCAGCGCAAAATATGAGGGTTTGAGACTGAATTTGAAGCTTTAGGGGGATTGAGTAATCCTCTGCCTAGTGCCAGGGCCAGTCAATCTTAGGGCTTGTGCTGTTAAACCACCGTGTTTTCTGTGTAAGGGTTTTTTGGGGGAGATGGGATAATCTCACCTCTGAATTACATTATTGCCCAAAATGCACAAATATTAGCTGACCTGAGTCTGGCTGCCATTAGACAGATTTCTCTGGAAAAATTATAGCTGGTAATGTATAAATAAAAGCAAGAGAATGTTTTGTACTTTTACCTGCATTAACAAACCATTCCTGTCTCCTACTCATTTTCTTTCTTGCTTGCTTCTGTAGAACCTCCAGTGGGCCCGAGATGTGTTGCTAGGCAGCAGTATCCCATGGCAGCAACTGAAGCACATGCCAGCACAGGGTCTCTTCTGTGAGAGGAACAAGACTAATTTCTTCAATGTAAGTTAATACTGTTGACAAACATACCACTACTTGGACATTTTAACACCTGCTTCCCATATGGAAGGTTTGTTGAGAGAGAATGTTGGGGGAATTCAACAAGAGAGGGTTGAAGGGGCGACACAGAAGGCAAAGAAGTTGGATTTGTACTACAGCAAAATTTACCAGTATTGTCCCATCTAAGAGGATGCATGCGTAGTGCTTATTCCTTATAAGCTTGAGAAGCTATCGTCTTACAGTATTAACATGAATGGGGGGCGGGAGAATCAATGGCTTACCATCATGTGATGGTCACTAAATGCTGCTGGGATGAAAACTGTTTAAAATTCTAATTCTGTTCATTTCTGCATGTGCTCTCTCTCTCTCGGGTAAGTCCTTTTGCACTTTTTGGAACAACCAAAAATAGTACTATTTGTTCAAAGAATTTTTGAGGTTGGTGGGGAGTACTGAAGTACTGTATCTAAATGTGAGCTACTTTATCAGCAAGAACAGAAGTTCTAGGTAATCTCATGAAGCCCAGTCTCTAGCAGAGTCTCACTGTATGGCAAACTAGCTGTCTATACATATGTAGCCAAGGAGTCTTTCAGGCCATTACAAAGCTCAATGTTTGTTATCACTGTTTAATATTATTATTTCCTGTACGAAACAGTTTTCTCATAAGAATTGATTTCTGGTTTGCATCTGTTTAAAACAAACAAAAAGGCCTCTTCTGAAGACCATTTGGTGTTTTGTGCATTTTGTTCTGAGTAGTCCTCCTGCACAAATTTCTTTTGATGTATAGTATACGCTCTTCTCCTGCTGTAATCTACTGGAAGAACATTAAATGAAATTTCAGGTGTTTCAAAACTGTATCATGGACCAATCCTAAATTCTATCTCCCTCTCTGCTCCTGAAGAGAGGTTTTTGTTATAAAGACTGCCATGTCTGGGAGGGTGTAGACTTAGTAGTTGTGATGTAGTTGGTGAGCATGTGCCTGTGTGCCATGCTAGTCTCCTGAGTGCCTGCCTGCTTTTCCTACAAAAATCTTGCTCTGTAAATGCTTAATCCTATAAACTGTTGAACACTCTGGCTCTGATCTAGCAAATAGAATCATAGAAATGTAGGGCTGGAAGGGACCTCAAGAAGTCATTTAGTCCATCTGCCTGCACTGAAGCAGGACCAAGTATATCTAGACTATCCCTGACAGGTGTTTGTCTAACCTGTTTTTAAAAACCTCCAAAGACTGGGATTCCACAACCTCCTTTGGAAGCCTATTCCAGTGGTTAACTAGCCTTCTAATTAGAAAGTTTTTCCTAATACCTGATCTAAATCTCCCTTTCTTCAGATGAAGCTGATCATTTCGTGTTCTACCTCCAGTGGACATGGAAAACAGTCCTCTTTATAATAGCCTTACACCCATTTAAAGACTGTTATCAGGTCCCCCCCTCAGGCTTCCTTTCTCAAGATTAAACATACCCAGTGTTTTTAACCTATCCTTATAGGTCAGGTTTTCTAAGCCTTTTATCGTTTTTGTAGTTCTCATCTGGATTCTCTCCAGTTTGTTGGCATCTTTCTTAAAGTGTGGTGCCCAGAACTGGACACAGTACTCCCGCTGAGGCCTTACCAGTGCCGAGTAGAGCAGGACAATTACCTCCTGTGTTTTACATACAACACTCCGTTATCTAAGTCATTAATTAAAATATTGAATAGTACCAAACCCAAGATAGACTCCTATGGGACCCCACTAGATACATACTCCCAGTTTGGCAGCGAAACATAGATAACTGGTTGAAAAACTGTACTTAAAAGAATAGGTATGTACCCATCTTACAGTGATTTAAATTAGACCACATTTCCCTACTTTGCTTATCAAAATGTTATTGGGACTATGTCAAAAGCCTTACTAAAATCAAGATATATCATATTTATAGCTTTCCCCCATCCACTAGGCCACTAACCCTGTCAAAGGAAATTAGGTTGGTTTGGCATGATTTGTTCTTGACAAATCCATAGTGGCTATTACTTATTACCTTACTATCCTCTAGGTCCTTAGAAACTGATTGCTTAATAATTTGTTTCAGTATCTTTCCAGTTATCGAAGTTAGGCTAACTTATCTGTAATTCCCCAGGTCCTCTTTGTTCCCCTTTTTAAAGATATGTACTATGTTTGCCCTTCTCCAGACTTCAGGGACCTTACTCGTGCTCCTTTTGCTCTCAGAGATAATCGCTCACGGTTCTACATTTGCTTCAGCTAGTTCCTTAAGTACCCTAAGATTAATATCATCAGCCCTTCCTGACTTAAATGCATCAAATTTTATTAAATATTTTTTAATTTGTTCTTTCCCTGTTCTGGCTTGTGTTCCTTCCTTCTTTTGTTAATGTTACTTTTGCTAAGTATCTGGTCATAATTAACCTCTTTAGTGAAGACTGAAGCAAAAGAGGCATTAAATATTTCATTCTTCTTGCTTCATGCTTAGCTTTAATCACATGAGTGTTCCTAAAGAAGTCAATTGGACTGTTCATATGCTTAAAGTTAACCATGTTCACTGGTGGATCAGAAGCAGAGCATTCAGCACCTTGCAGATCAAATCCCAATGGGTGCACTAAACAGACTGGAAGAGCCAGTCAGGAGGGAACTGTGCAATTTGTGTGAGAATTGATTTCTACTTAAAAACAGGGATTTACTGTATAAAGAGGTGAGTGGTCCACCTAATTTAGTATCTAGTTTTTGAATGCCAGTGTGAGATACTTCAAAGGTAGGTATAAACCCTCATAATTCCCTAATTGTATGGTGCTGTGCCATGTGAGGGAAATTTCTTCCTCACCCCCTGATGAGGCTCTGTTTATGCCCTGAAGAATGAGAAATGATAGCCTTGTTAATTTTATCCTAGATATTATACATTTACATATTTAGTAAATTTTTAAAATTACAAAAATAAATTCCCACAGTTTAGGATGTTCATACATTATTAACAACTTAAACGTTATAAGAAGAAAAATAAGAATATAGTCTCCAAAAGAAAGCTATGCTCCAACTCAACACAACTCTCAAAAAGTAGCATTAGAAAAGTGATGATCCTTGTCCAAAGGACAACAGACTCCACTAAAGCTTTGCTTCTGCTGTTGGTGTGCCTATGCCAGTTAAGAGCCCTCATTTAGGATCCTGTCTTCAACCATGAGAGATTTAAATCTAGGGACTCTTAACTCAAGTGCCCCAGCGTCTCTTAAATGCCATGATGGCATGCTAGGGTGGGGTGTGTCTTGGAGAGCTATAATGTGAGCCATTTAGGGGTTTATAGATCAGTGCTAACACCCTAACACCTACATGCAAATAAAAAGTTAATACTATTATTAATATAGGCATAATATTAATCTTGGTGCTAACTCCGCATAACAGGCTGACAGTGCGTTCTGCACCATCTGTATCTTTCTAGTCCTCTTCAGGGGGATTACCATATAGAGCAAATTGCAGTAATCCAGCATAGAAGACACGCAATCATGGACCACAGTGGCAAGATCCAGATCCAAGAGAAATGGTTATAGTTACTTTGATATAGATGAAAAAAGACACCAGTGCCACCTGAGATTCCAAGAGTGAATAATGTTCAAAGAACCTCCAAATTGTGAATCATTTGTAAAACTCCCTCCATAATTGAAATAAGAATCACCCCTCCCACCATACCCTAAAAATCAAACCCTCTTCTCACTAGCATGACATCCATCTTGTCTAGGTTAAGCTTCCGCCCTCAGCCAACTTTCTATCTTGGCCAAGCACTAGGAAAGCAAAGGTGCTGCATTCTCTGGGTCTGGCAAAAAGGAGATACAGAGCTGCATGCCATCTACCACGTACTGATATCTTTACAGCCCACTATCCTCCTTAATAGCAGCACATATATGTTGAATAGGACAAGGTGGAAACAAAATAGAATTTTGCAGAACCCCATAAAAATAGGCAGTTTTCCAAAGCTTCTCTCACACTAACCTTATTCATATGTCAAATATTTTTAATCTTACTGAACTCAGTAATATCCTGCAGCAGTGATTTCCACAGGTTAATAGTGTTGCTTACCGTATTTACTTGTATCCACTTAAAGTGTATGCCCTTGACATAGCGTGCTCTTTTGTTCTCATCATAGGAAAGATTAAAATGAATGCCTGAGTGAGTTTCTCCATATGATTCACTGTTTGGATACCATTTCCTTCCAACGTGAATAGTCCTACTGTTTTTAATCTGTTCTCTTATGGAAGAGTCAGAGCTGCTGAAATTGTAGCTGATCTAATTTTACATATACAAACAACCATCGTGTGAGAATGAGAGCTAGCAGCTCAGAGATTTTAGTAGGGACCTTGCCAACCTGCTCTTCCAGACATTTTATAAATCATGCATATTCCTGGTGGAATTATTTATGAAATGAGTGAGAGCAGTATATGAAAAGGAATAAACAGGGTAGTGCTGTCTCCTATTAAATTTTACTGCAGGACTACAAGTCTGAATCTCAGGATGTCCTGTTCTGTTACCTAATTCGTTAGCCCTTGAGCAGCTGTGAGTGAGATCTCTTTGTATTATGCTCTGCTGCCTTGAGGAACAGCAAGTAAGCTTTGTTTGCTTAGCCTTGATGTCACCTCACTGACATTAGACTGAGCTTCAAGGTACTTAAAATTCAGGATTCTAAATCTGAAGGAAATATGCTTCTTTGAGTTGATACAGATGTGTATTCCACTTAAGTGTGAGCACACCCCGTGCACTGGAGCTGGAAAAATTTGCCTAGCAGTACCTGTAGAGGGGCAGCTCTCATGCTGTAGCCCCTCCCCTGACTATATTCGGCACCGCTGCCCCAACCCTCCGTCAGTTCCTTCTTACCATTTGTGGCTGGAATCAGAGCTCTGTGTGCTTTAATCCCACATCTCTCTCAATTAGTGTTTCCTGTTTTATAGTTGTTGTACATAGTTAGTAGTGCCTTTGTGTACTGTTAGCTAAGTTTTCCCAGTGATGCCTGCACCAGGGTTTAAACATTGTCCTT